ATATATATTGTTTGCAAAATAGTACTTTTCCATTCATTGCGATTTTGAAATAGGAAACTAGGTCACTTGAGATGAGAAAGGGTAACAGGATAAAGAAAAATGTCCAAGGCATATTTCAAACCTGGTTTGTTTCATCAGGAGCATCCGGAATTTCCAAAGTCCCATTAGAGTCAAAGGGAATCTAAAAATAAATAATAATGTAAAATTGTACTGAATGGTTTGGGAAGTTCTTTGCAGCCTTCTGTGATGAGATGATGGGGCAAAGGAGCAGCCTAAAGAACTTTCTTTTAAAATTCTACCAGGGATAATAAGATAGAAGGGTGGAACCTGGAGGCACTGGCAGTCAAGCTTAGCAAAAGCAGCTATAATGCAGAAGCAGCCTTTGGCCCCTTTTCCCTAAAGCCTTTAGAGAATCTGGACCACTAAAATAACGATTCAGCTCAGGACATCCGAATTCATGAAATTTGGTCAAAATCTAACTCCCTCCAAATTTTGGAATCCACTCTATTGGTGTCCTTTGTGCATTTCTTCCAGATTTGTGCTGTTTTCCAGCTTGGAACACCTCTTGGACTTGTGCCTCTTTGCAGGAGTTTCCTGTAATAAAGACTGGTCACTGCTTCCTTTTTTCCTTGTGCAGGGTGGCTGGTCTTATATCCACCATCCTGTAGTTTTCTCTAGGTAGGCAGTCTGTACAGGGTGGACTTGTTGTGTCCCACCCACAGTGCTGCTCTAGCACAGTGATGACATCACTGCTACATAGGACCACTAGGTGTCAGTATTACACCACAAGAATGACCACATTTGCACTTTATATATAAATGGTTCTTTTTTTTAATGTGGGAAACAAACTAGTTGATAAGTTTTACTATGTTACTATAGACAAAAGCTCCTTACCCTATTTACCCTAATAAAAAAATGTGTCATAACTTTAATTCCCTACCTATGAAAGCAAGAAAAGATCAGTATATTCTTAATAAGTAGAATTAGAATGGCAGTAAACTCATATCCCCCCTCCCCAATGCTGCTTTGAGGACTTACCTTAAGTGATGTCTCTTGATCCAAATATCTTCTTCCTTCCAGTCATTTTCAGCAATCCCTCCAGCACTGGTGCCAGTCTCTGACCAAGAGCAGACTGCTGATTCTTCCTGTCCCCTGGTCTCTGTCCGGCGTGCACACTCACGGCTGCGTGCATTGACATACCCAGTAGCTCTCCTCCTCTCCCTGCCAGTGATCTTCACTGCACATATTCGCACACATCCTCCTGCTGGATTCTACAACCGGGAGCGAGTGGAGGAGACAGAGGTAAGTTTTTTCCTATTTGGTACCTTTTTTTTTTTTGCACATATCTACTGCTTGCTAGCAGAAGATATATGTAAACAAATTGGGCCTTTAATGTCACTTTAACCAGTTGACATCCGCGGAGTTAAACCCCTTTCCCATCCATTGGCTTTGTACAATGGATTTGAAAGGAAACAACTGAGATGCAATTGAAGTGCAGATTTTCATCTTTAATTCAAGGGGTTGAACAAAATATCATATGAAATGTTTAGGAATTGCAACCATTTTCATACGCAGTCCACTTAGTCCCCTTATTTCAGGGGCTCAAATGTAATTGGACAAATTAACACAATGATAAATAAAATTTTCATTTTGAATACTTTGTTGAGAATCCTTTGCAGACAATGACTGGTTGAAGTCTATGAATGCATGGACCTCACCAAACGCTGGGCTTCCTTCTTTGTGATGCTTTGCCAGGCCTTTACTACAGCTGTCTTCAGTTGTTGTTTGTTTGTGGGTCTTTCTGCCTTAAGTTTTGTATTCAGCAAGTAAAATGCATGCTCGATTGGGTTGAGATCAGGTGATTGACTCGGCATTGACTGCACAATTTGAACATTGCATTTATGTCTTGGCATTGCAGCACTTTACATTGTACTGTAATGCTGTGACCAACAGTGGCAACCAGTGCACTGTGGAAAATTAAAGGAGAACTATGGGGTTAAGGCTTTTCCCCATAGTTCTCCTTAGGGTAACGGGAGGGCACTGAAACGCCGCAGTATATACTGAGACGCCATGGCTGAAGCGGATCCTGGCAATTATGTCTGGATCCGCCCAGCTGCGTGACTGACAACTGGCTCTGCCTATCTAGAGGCAGAGCCAGCTGTACCCGCCCCCTCCCCCAGCGCTGGCAGAATCCAGCCCCTCCTCTGTCGCGGCAGAGAGCCGTGACAGGATCGAGAGGTGAGCGAACGCCGTTATGTGTTCGTTCACCTCCCAATCTACTAAGCCGACCTGCGACAGTCTCATTGTCACAGGTCGGCTAGATCTATAAGGTAAGTGAAAAGCACTCACCTCATAGTTCTCCTTTAAGGTATGTCTACATTTTAGTATGAAGGGGCTCCCTCGCTGTGACTGGTGTTTATCCAATGTGGAAAAACAGTGTGAACAGTCCCTTACAGATAGTGGGAGCGTACACTGCAATGCTTAGGAGAAAGGGGATAGGTTAGTTTTATGATGTGGAACCCAGTTCACCTGAGTTTGCCAAAGTCTGCACAAAACTGTGACTGACAACCCCACTCCTCCTGGCCCAATCAGTTGTGGCCGGGGTATTCTGTGCCCCACAGCTACACATCACAAGGTGTGAGGAATGTCTCTGTCACAACTGATTGGGCCAGGAGGGGCTGTGTCAATCAGTTTTGGCCCAACTATGGTGAACTCGCCCCTTAAGCCCCCACGCATCATTAGTTTTGACAGAGGCTTCACTTAGTTCGCAATCATTACGTATAAGGCCTCTATTCAGTTTTCCGAGGGCACTAACTCAGCATTTCTACACATCATGCGAAACAGCATAGCATTTTACTTCTGCATTTCCAGCTCATGGTCATCATACGTCTTAGCATACTCAACTACCATAAATCTGAAAACATGAACCCAACCGGCACTGGAAACAGGAAGTGACGCCACGCCCGGCGATCTGATTGGCGTACACGAGGTCACACCAGTGGAGGCCGGAAGTGACGATGTTCCAGGAGCCCTTGTGAATGCAGATTGTATGTTTCAATGACTCAGCCGTACACATGGTAATACAGTTGTACATGCGGTGAAGCAGTAAGGGTTGTCATGGCGGGCAGTGCTGGAGAATGGTGTCTGATGGAGAGCGATCCCGGTGTCTTCACCGAGCTTATTAAAGGCTTTGGTACGTTCCGTTGTGTTGTTTCTAAAATCCAACCTGAAACTCTTGTTATTTGTAAACAAATCCGATCGTCATGCCATTGGTATTAAACGCGATAGTGCTGCGCCTGTGTGCCGCTCACAGAATAAATGGCAATTACGAAGTATATTTCTTGCTACAAAAATTCTGTTTTTGCTGCAGTCCTGTTTTTTTTTTTGAACTGACCGGTTTTTAAAATCCTTGTTTGGGTTGCTGCGTGTAGATTGTAGTGACAGATGCTGCCCAGCATAGTGGATGTTTGTGCTAGACTAGTGGATGACTTCTTGTCATGTCAGACACTAAGGCTAGGTTCACACCTAGAAACGTACAGGTGTCCAACACATTTTTATTTTTTTTGCACGTTTTTGCTTTTAAAAATCCGCTTTTCTGCCTCGCTAGGGATGTCTATAGTACCAAAACCATGCACGATCCGCCTCAAAATAGCTCCTGCATCTTTTTACGTGAAGGGTGGTGGTCTACGTTCAATGCGAAGGTGTGAACAGTTGCAATTGACTTGCATGGAAATGTGTGTTTTGCGCACATATATCCACGTGTAAAAATGCTCAGGTGTGAACCAGGCCTTAGGCTGATGTTAGAGACAAATCACCAGCTGCAGGATCACTAAGGAGGCGGCCTGTCTGTCCCTAAGAAATCGTTCCCTGTGTACCCAGATAAAGTGAGATGTCACAGTCGAATCTCAATCAGTAGTTAGGGAAGTGACATCTTGCTGCTTCTGTTACAGAGGGTGCTGTTCCATAGGGTCCGACAGGTGACCTCTTAACGATCCTGCTGCTGGTAATTTAGACAAATCACCAGCAGCAAGATTACTAGCGACATAGCTGCCTGTCTGAGGTCAGGGCTGGAAAAATTGCAGGAGCAAGATAGCCAGTGCTTCTTAAAAATAACAGTTGGTGCCTAAAATTTGAGGTTTTCGCTAGTTGTCAACAGAGCTTGCTCCTACAAAATATCTTGCTGGTTCCTGGATTAGACAGACTGGCTCCATACTCCAGATTAGTTTGTCCACCCTTGGCCTAAGGTGTAATGTTGGGATGCAGTTGTAGCTGAATAAATGTCATTGTATGTGGCTTGCCCAGTCTTACAAATTATTAATGTTTAATCACATTTATCAGAAAGGAATTACTTGTGTTTTTTACTGCGAGGAGCTTGGCTTTGATAAACATGTTTACATTAAGTGGACAAATTTTTTAGTAGATCTAAATCTAGTTGCTAAACCCTCATAACTATATACCAAAACATATCCAAGATAAGATCCATTAACAATATACAAAAATGCTTCTTAAAAGAGAACTATGGGGTAAGTGTTTTTCCCTCATAGTTGTCTTTAGGGTCACGCGAGGACATATACTAACTTCCTCCCGTGACCTAAAGCTCAGTAGATCGCTGGCTATTGCCCGTGATATACTGATAGCGCCGCAGCCGGGACAGATCCCCACAATACTGTCGAGATTCACCCAGCTGCGTGAGTGACAGCTGGCTCTGCCTATATAGAGGCAGAGACAGCTGTGCCCGCCCCCTCCCCGTTCATTCCTCCACTCAGCGCTGAAGGATTGGAGGGTGGGATCCCTGCGGGGAGCGGTGACTGACGGTCACCGTTCACTGCAGGGAGCAGATCGGTGCATGTTTCTGCTCCTCTTCCTGATCGATAGAGCCGACCTTGGTCACAGGTCGGCTCTAACTATGAGGATGAGTGGAAAACACTCGCCTCATAGTTCTCCTTTTAAGTGTATTTCCACTTTTTCAGCTAAATTGTGATAATGCCTATTTTATTTGTTTCCAGTCACGTAACTGAAGCCAAAACATTATTTTTTTTTTTGGATAGAGGGGGTTTGAAATAAAACCCATGTCAGGTTTTATTGTTCTCTTTTCCCATTAGGGAGATTCATCCTATTTGTCCTGGTGACTTTATAACTAAAGGTAAAAGTGAAAGATGATTCCAAAGCTTGGGTTATCATCAGAACAGGAAAAGATGGGAAATCTTCCAATGAGGACACTTTCTCGCTTCCTGTTTTGACCATTAGACAGGAAGTGGTCTCCTCAATGTGTCACAGGTGGCAAAAAAAAAACGGCCAGGGGTTATAATCCTCCCTTACTCTATCCAAAACTAAAACAAAGTTTTGACTTTAGTTCTAATTTAAAATTAATAAATACACATTACTGAATAAATACCTAAAAAAAAAAAATAGAAAAGTACCAATACCTTTCTGAAAGTTTTTCTTTTTATAAGGAATTTTTCCTCTTGAAGGGATGGGGATGGTAATGTTTACCATAATTCACTGTCTGTACTGTGCTCGTGGATTTAATTCTAAGTTATGAACTAGATTTGAATAACATCTGCCCTAACAAAGTGTTAGCATTGTATGTTAATAAGAGTTTCCCAAGTCTTTCTATGGGAACAGCCAGAGTTTCCTATCACTTTGAAATTGTACAGAGAAGCTTGCAGTTTGCCCAAGGACCTGCTCTACAGAGACATTTAAAAGTTAAAGGGATATTCAAGTCCAAAGGTTTTTAAGCTATTTTCAAATGCTGATTACATCACTAACAACGGATGCTACTCCTTTATGTTTAAAAGTTTTAGTTTACTGCAGTATCATCTGCTCCCCTGAGCACTGGCCCTGTTATCCTGTTTTAGGGTGGCTCCTTTCCCTTGCAGGGTCCTATGGAGCCACCCTTGTATGTGCTAATAAGCTGTGTGTCTCCACAAACACACTGGCACAGCAAGGCAATCAACTCCCATTGTCTCTGCTCTCTCCTCCTTCCTTCTCCAAGATAGATGGACAGCTGCTAGAGACTGCTCTTTCTCTTGTAGTCTCATACTGGACAGGATGTTCAGAGAAGTTGAGCTGAGAGAACTAGAGCCAACTGTTCAGAAACATGACTAAGTGCTTGGGTGAAAATGTAAAGACATGCTTTGCTGGATAATGTATATTTGTTTTATCGGAATTCATTATTGCAAAAATTTTTGAGCGTTTGATACTACTTTTTAAGAAATATTTTTTTTGAAAAAATATTTTTTGCTGTGTGAGTGGGAACACAAACATGTAATGGGGTTTTCTCAAATCTGACTGCAAAAGTGGAATTACACTCTAAACTTTGGAAGCTCTGTGTAGTGCACGCTCTCCCCTGTCGCCGCCAAACTGTGCGTTCTTGTGTCTGTACATTTAAAAAAAAAATCATGTAGTGGGCATAGGAAGAAATACCAGATTGTTTTCTTCTACATTTTCTCCTCTTGCTACCTAATTAAAATGTATACAATGGGGTATAAGTATTCAAGTCTGCAATCAAAATAAAGTTCTATCTGGCTAGAAAATAATTATCATTTGTAAACACCACAAATGCAAAATAAAAACTTATTTAATGGAAAGCCAACATATCTTTGAAATTACAATCTTAAGCATGCCTGCTTTTTTATGTAAGCTCTAACAATACACTTCTCTCATTTGCTCCCTTTTGTTCTGCTAAATATACCACTAAAAGGATTTTGTTCAAGTGAAAAAGAATACTTGTTGATCCTGCCAAACATCTAGCAAGCTGATGACTTCCTGAGCTCTCTGCCTCTGCTGTGCATGTATGCGTTAGCATTGTTTCTAGTTGTCTTGTGGACTACACAACACCCCCTCCCCTGTTTTGATGAGAGGGTGGTATTCTCTATTCCCAACACAGTTCTTATCCTAAAGGGAAGCAAGGCTGCTTCTCTGTAGATACAATAAATGTGAGTTTTTATTTCACTTTTAGGGCAGGAAGAGTTAATGATAGGATTACCAAGTGAAAATAAAGAAACAAAGGAAACTAATGCAACCACATCGAAGTACTGGTACGCTGCAATATTGCAATATATTTTTTGTTCTCCAGTTTAGATACACTTTAACCTTCTTATGCTTTCCTGATCCACTGCAGAAAGTTTCTCAAAAAGGTATAGAAAAGCACACGAAACTCCACCGACTTCCAGCTTCCTCTCACTGTGTAGTGCTTGGTGTCTGAATGTACAGTTGTCTGATATTTCTTAAGGGTCCATTTAGACGTCTCCAGTGTGGCACGTTGCTGGAACGTTACAGTTGTTGGCATGCACTGTAGATATCCTATTGATTACTATGGAAGCCTGCTGATTGTCAAACTCAGCAATCAACTGGATTCCGATAGGAGTGAATAAAGAATTTCCTGCAAATGTTTGGACTGGCCAGGGGGCTTTTTGAAATTAAGCTGTGGAGCACCTAGTAGCCCCACCATGAATATTGTCAGCAATTGTGGACCATTGAGTATAGTGTGACACATAATCCAGCAGGTGCCGTTTAACAAAATACATGGTAAAGGCAGCATCTGTTAAATAGTGGTTGAAGATTGTAGTTTCCAACTTTGTCTGTACAGGGTTGACTAAACAAGGTAACTGTAGTTTGTGTTTAAATTGCTTTATTTCTTCTTTTTCTTGCATAGGTTGTCAAGGAGTTCAAGTGGAAGAAATTTGGAGTTTAGACCAAGAACACTTTGAAGATCTGCAGTAAGTGTTGTACTTACTAGTATTTTTTTAAGTAATTTTATGTACCAGTAGTCTACACTGTAATATTCATTCATATAAAAGAACATGTTGGAGACATGCAGTAGGTGATCTGTCATTGTAATGTGAACTATTGACGGAAATTACATATGGCCAGGGCCCAATGCTTAAAGTGCAAAACTTGTGGGCAGTTCCATGCAATGTCAAAAATGTGTTATTGTCATGGTGAAAAGGTAAGGTGGAGGATCAGCACTGTAGTGGTTGGCCATGAAAACTGCATGCCTCGTGACAAGAAATGCATGAAGCTTTCTTCCCTTTCAAACCAGAAGATGTTCAGCACCTCAGCTTGGAACTGTCAAAGACCAAAAAGCCCTTCCCGGGTGGAAAGTCAATAGAGTTTCCTATGCACAAAATACAAGAATCGGGCTACAGAAACATTACAGCAGGTGCCATGAAGTTGTGAGTGAAAGTTTTAAAAACTTGGCTCCCATAGAAGACAGTTTGTCTGCCGAAGGGCTAGAGAATGGTGCATGTAAGAATGTTTATAAGCAACAGCAAAGTGCAGTGGATTTTTTCCTTTCCTAGTTTGGAGCTACATTTCTGAAAATGGAATAAGTCAGTTGGTAAAAATCAATGGTCCCCTCACTGTTGAGAAGTACAAGCAGGTTCTTGCCTATCATGCAATATCGTCGGGGAATATTCTGATCAGTCTCAACTTCATTCTGTATCATCAATGATCCAAACACATTGCTAAAATAGGACAAATATCTGTGCCAAAAAAATGACAACAAATTGTACATCAGATGGTATGATCCCCTCAGAGCTCTAATCTCAGCCAACGCCTGCAGTGGAATAGATAAGGAACCCCTTGACTGAGGGGTAGTTTGTTCTAAACTTGGCATGTAATGTATAGTGTCCCTGGTTAGTCTGCTCTGTTACGCTAAAAAGCCTCGATTTTATATACTTCTGGTAGGATCCAGGGGAAAAAGAAAGCAAGGGCCAATAAATGAGAATCCCAAAAATGTTTAATTTCCTCTAAAAAAGACAAGCCAATGCGTTTTGAGGTCTTCATGGTACCCCTTTTATACAAAATGCCTCCAGATTGATATATTGCATGGAATATTTTGAACAGTTTTAGAAAATTACAGGGGCTGCAGATTAAAAGGTAATTTTTAATAACATTACCTTACAGAATGGCTCATCTTGTCATTTTACATGCATGTAAAATGTTACGCATCCCCTGAAATAGAAATGTTGTTTCAGTAAGATCCTCCCTAAGGGTTAACTACTTCTATGAAGATGCAGGCATTGCATCTTTCCTCATTAGAACACAGTGCACCAGGTGGGTATAATTAACCCAGACTCTCCCATTCAGGAAGGAGTCTGGAAAGGACATGGTAAAACAGCTTTTTCTTCAGAAAAACAGAAAAAGATAGTAATCTGTAACATTGTTACGGGATATTTTTTTTTCCTCAGCAAAAATGGAGTTGCACTTTAACAGTTGCGTTAACATGACTCACCTAACACAAGAGTACAGGGGGTGAACAGATTATTATGTAATTCCAGAGTCTTTCCAATCCAGGAGCCAGCAGTATTTGTGAGTGAGTATGCAAGAAAGAGACTAGTGAGGGAGGCCACCAAGGGACCAATGACCTTTCAAAGGGATTACAACTACTATTGCCTGAGTGCTTCACTAGTTTCAACTTTATTGAAGAGTGGTAAAGAAAAATAGCCACTGTTCGCTAAAATCCACATGACATCTTGCCTACAGTTGCCCAAAAGGCACGAGGGAAACGTTGTCTTAAGACCAAAATTGAGCTCTTTGTCCATCAGAACAAGCACCTACTTTGACATAAACGGAATGCAGCACATCCTCATCAACCTTTAAAAGTCCCCCCACCTCATCCCCCACCTTTAAAAGTATCATGGTGACAGCAAAATGCTGTGGCGATGTTTCTTTGCAGCAGGCCCTGGTAGCCTTGTAAGCGTAAAGGGTAGCAAACACAGTGACATTCTGCAAAGAAAACCTGAAGCCTTCTTGAAACATATACTGTGCCGTGGTAGATTTGTCTTTCAGAAACATAAAGCCTCAGGTTAAAAAAAACAGCTATATTTCTCTTTAATTTTAAAAATTGCTGTGATTTGATTATATTTGACAATAAAAGTTAAAACATCTAAGGGGGTGAAAACTTTGTTTAGCTTTGTTACATATACCGGATAACTACTTAAAGTGACATTAAAGTCAAAAATATTTTTCACTCCCCCCAATGTAAATGTCAGCACTTACCTTAAATGATATTTCTTAATCCGATCTTCTTTCCTTTACATCTGTCCCTCCAGCGCTGACTCCTCTGTCCTTGCTGGCACTTCCTGTCCCACGGTGTCTGCATGCGGGTGCACGTGTCCATAGACTTACCTTGTGTCTGTCCTCGCGCCCTGGCCGCAAATGTGAACTGCGCGTGTGCCCGCACCAAGATGCTTTGCGGCCACCCCAGACTTTTCACATTTTCGGACCGGAGCGCGCGGGGAAGACATAGGTAAGTACTACCCTTTTCAGAGCGTTTTTTTTTTATATTTACACTTTTTGCATATATCTACTGCTTGCTAGCAGTAGATATAGGCAGAAAAAACGGAGGGTTTCATAACCCTTCAATTGTTCATAATAATCTTGTTTATATGTGGCTATCCAGATATACTATTCAATATAGTTCCACTTTTGCAGTCACATTTGAGAAGACCCCTCTAAATATTTGCGTTTCCCATTCTCACAGCCTACCCAAAAATAATTTTATTTAAAAAAATTCTTACCTTTTTAGCTGTGTCCTTGGAGCAGGCCTTTGGGCAGACTGCAAGCTATTCTGAGAAATGTGTGTGACTCTTTCTGTCCCCAAGATAAAGGGAAGCGGAATGAGCTTCCTCTCATTTAACATACAGTGCATGTTGATCTTTAACCCTTTGTTAGTAGGGTCTATTTATAAACAATTTGCAGGGCCATTCACCCTGCAAATATCTGTGAATGTTGGTTTTGTATGAAAACGTGCAAAAATAAATAATATATTTTCTAAGGTTGAATTTAGTAGAATGTAATACTGCATTATGGCCCCTAGATGGAGCTGAGGAACTGGAAATACATATTAATTTCCTAAGCTCTATTTCTAGTGGTCATATTGCAGTATTATGGAATGCAAAAACAAAAATAGAGAAATGGGGCTTTAAAAGTGTCATCAAATGCAACACATGGGGACGGTCTGCACATGGATGTTGCCCTATTTATAGGCATCATCAAGGTTGTGCAGACTGTTGGCCCGTCCCAACGCGAGCCGTTAGCAGCAAACGGCGTGGTTTGGTGCGGCGGGAATAGAGCAGGGAGAGAGAGGGGAGATGTGGGCTGCTAGGATTGGGGGACTGCCTTTTGCTAGATGAGGAGTGATACTAAATTAAGCAGAACGCATCCAGTAACTGTTTGAAGGACACATCATGGACAGGCGTACCTTCTTCCCCATTCATTGGCCCGCATGGTCCCCTACTTCCCTTACCTCCCGGGTTGTTTTGGGTTGGCTCTCCGGCAGTAGGGACGCATGTCAGTAGGACAGAGATTCCATTAATGATCCTTATGATTTTTATCGGCACCTCCGTATTTTCCTGATGAAGCCTTGAGCAAAACATGTCAATCTGGACACATCATAGATCTACTGAATATTTATGGATGAATTTATTTATGCAATTTAAGGAGATATATGCTAATACGTTATTGTCATATACACAGCATGTATCTATATGTGATCCAGGGAGGTTTTGTACCATTTAATGATATCACTAATCTGTCATCTTTAGTATTTTAACCTCTTGCCGTCCGCCCATTAAGAAAAAACGGACGAACGGCAGACTCGCATTAGCGGGTTGCCGTCGCCAGACGGCATTTTTTTCCTGCTCGCGCGCAGGAAAGACCCGATGGGAAGGGGTTTAACACCCCGGATGTCAACTGGTTAATAAAGAATATATATATTTTTATACAATAAGCGACTTGTATGTGCAATTTTGAAATGGGTCTCCTTGCATTTGATGACCCTTTTAAAGCCCCATTTCTCTATTTTTGTTGTATCCTGTATACTTAAGGGGTGTGGTGTCCTAGTTCGTGTGGTGAGTCGCAATTTTGTGTACAATACTGCAGTATTATATCATTCATTTGACTTTTTTTTAAAAATGAATTAAGAACGCTCGTTTACAGATGTTCACAGGGTGAATGGACCTGCAAAATGTTTAATACAGTATTCAGATCTATTTTAAGACCGATAATGAGATCTGCTGAAATTACAGCAAAAGAATAAACTTTGGAGTTTTCAGAAAAGATCAGGTACAAATTTCTAAATATTTTTTTTAAAGTTCTGCTGAACAGGGACATGCAACAAATATGCAATGTGTTTATCCCAATTTGGCTGCAAATGTGAAATTCTGAAATGTTTGAATGCCGTATGTGTGGTTGATATAGTTTTTCATTTTTTGTTGCAGACCAGTGCAAGGTTTGATCTTCCTTTTCAAGTGGCAGCCCGGAGAAGAGCCAGCTGGATCTGTAGTACAAGATTCTCGTTTGGATACAATTTTTTTTGCAAAACAGGTATTACATTTTTTTTTTTACAAATAAATAAAATCTGGGTATGGGATGTCTTACAGTATTTAACATTTTAGGCTTTTCATTTACCAGTTTTAATAGGTGCTAGGTGACTCTTAATCAGCAGCAGGTGTATGGAGTGCAGCCAAACTCACATAAGATGCAAAATATGATGCACTCTCAATCTGAAATCCAACAATTTGCATTTCATATGACATAAACGGAATGCAGCCATCCTCATAAACATCCCATCCCCCACCAATAGTACAGTGGGTTTGATATTATAGTATCCCAAAGCGACAGCATCAAATCTAACAATGGGTAAGTTAGTCTAGTCTAATTGTAGGAACTGTGATCACGTAAAATCACAAGGAGTGCAGTCTGCAGCCCCCCACCCCCTGTTGGGCTGTTGCACTCTCACAGGTGTGCCGCTGCCAAAATACCTGAACAGTAAATGCAGCTCATTGGCTGCAGTCAGTCTTTGGCCAAGATATTTCACGCCAGTTCTTTCGACAAACATTGATTGAACAATCAACTTTTGTGGTGGAGTGTGAGCAGCGTATGACCAGACCACTGGCTGTTTAGTAGTTTTCCAACAAAGTTAGCTGTTATCACTCTTCCCTGGAGGATTAAATTCTCTGTGTAACTGAGGAAATGTACTCTGCAATACAGATCATTTCCAGAAATGTTGAAGCCATGGAAAAAAACTTTTTTTTCCCCTGTTTGTTTTTTTCTGGAAAAAATTAAATTTTCAGAAAAATGTAAGAAAATACAGCGTGAAGTAGTTTCAAAATTGAAAGTCATTTTGTTAGACTGGGAACCTGAAATGCATTGCATATAAAAGTATTTATGCTTGAAATAAAAGTACAGCTTATTCAGTAAATAAACTAAAACTACCCATTTTTTTTCTTCCTCTTCATATTTGCCATTTTTATCATAGACTTCTAAAAACTTAAGAGAACTATGAACAACTTTGGGAAATGTACAATTATTACCACTTAAGATTTTGACATGGATTGTGATTCCCCCATTGTCCATGTTCTATTTTATGTGGACACTTATTCTGTGCTACCAGTATGTCTTTTTACTGTCTTCTAATAAAAATGTATTATACAAAAAAAAGAGAACTATGGGCCAACCTTTTTTGGCCATAGTTCTCTTCAGGGTCACAGGAGGACATATACTAATATCCTCCAGTGACCAATAACTCCGCATATAACGGGCTATTGCCTGCTGTATGCTGAGAGAGTGCAGAGCCACGCCACAGCCGGAATTTATCCTGACAATACAGTCAGGATCCAGCCCGCTGGCTGATTGACAGCTGGCTCTGCCTGTGCCCACCCCCTCCCAATCCGTTCAACCAGTCAGCGCTGGAGAAACAGAGGGGAGGGGGGAATCCCTGCAAAGAACGGTGACTGACGGTCACCGCTCTCTGCAGGGAGAGGATTGGGAAGTCGGGGATATTGGTTATGTGTTCACTGACTTCCCGATCAATAGAGCTGACCTGAGACAGCTTCAGTGTCACAGGTCGGCTTGAATTATGGGGATAAGTGTTTTTTACCCATCCCATAGTTCTCCTTTTAAGGACCCTTTTACCAGTCAGTTTGTTTCTTTATTTGGTATGAATATTACTTTGCTTGTAAATGAGATGAAGACAAAATGTTTACACTTAGGGGTCTATTTATAAATGTTTTTACACAAGATTCACACAACTTTCACCCAGGATTATTTTTTTTCCAGTTGCAAGTTGTGTAAATTTTGAGTGAAAACATTTATAAATCAACTCCTTAGTTTTCTTATCGTTGACAATTTTTATGAACGTTTTTCCTGGTATATTCATAACTGTGCATGTACTTTGTATGTATGTGTAAGTGGCAGCAAATATACATTTTATTTTCACTTTCTCCAGGTAATAAACAATGCATGTGCTACTCAAGCAATAGTCAGCATTTTGCTGAATACAAACCATCCTGATGTACACTTAGGAGAAACGCTTTCAGAATTTAAAGAGTTTACCCAAAGTTTTGATGCTGCGGTAAGTACCTGATTATTTTTTATTGCATTATTCATGGTGCTAAGCCACTATTCGTAGCTACAAAGACTATAACTATGGAGGAGCAACATGGCGACCCTTGGACAGCAGCATTGTCACCCTGTGGAGAGGGTAGTGATAGAGGCAGTAGCAGATTTAGATGGACTAACAAAATAAAGCTGTACTCTAGAGCAGGACTTCTTAAACTTTATCCACTCGTGACCCCTTTTTGGCCAAGGAAATCTTTAAGGGACCCCAGCGTCGGACAGTGTCTCTCCCCTTTTTCCCCCACCATCGGTCGGTGTCTCCCCCCTCCCCTAGCATCAGTCAGTGTCTCTCTCTCCTCCCCCCCCCAGCGTCGGTCAGTGTCTCTCTGCTCTTTTCCTCCCACCCCCCCAGCATCGGTCAGTGTCTCTCTCCTCGTCTCCCCCTCCCAATGTCAGTCTGTGTCTCTCCTCCCCAACTCTACCATGGACGGACGGTCAGTGTCTGTCATTACCAACTACTACTACTAAGCCCGCTCTCCCTCTTCCTTCTTACCTTTTACCTCCAGCAGCTGCACTACACTGCACATTAAACGAAAACAAAAAAATCTTGTTTGGAGCCCAGGCCTCCCCGGCCATACCCCCTTGATGGCGGTCCTGGCACGGGATTCAGATCGTGACCCCTTCTGTTCACTTGCGGGACCCCATATGGGGTCGTGACCCACACTTTAACCACTTCAAGACCAGGTGTTTAGACCCCCTTCCTGGCCAGGCCATTTTTCAGTGTTAAGCGCTGCAGTACTTTGACTGAAGTTTATTCCGTCATGCAACGCTGTACTGAAATGAATTTTATACCATTTTTTTGGGGACAGAGCTTTATTTTGGTGGTATTTAATCACCACTGGGGTTTTTATTTTTTACTATAATTAGGAAAAATGTAAGAAAATTTTGAAAAAAATAAGTTGTTTTTTTTTTACATTATGTTAGGAAACTTTTATTATTACCCAGTTTTTTGGTAAAATATAAAAGTCAGGGTCACGTCGGATAAATAGACACAAAACATGTCAACCTTTAAAATTGCGCGCACCCGCGAAATCGCAGAAAACTACCATACCCAAAATTGGCCATAGGCGACACTTTAAAAGCTTTTACACTGCTCTAGAGAACACGTTTCAAGCAGTCACAGCAACTTTTTTTTTCCCCTTATGGGATAAAGGTTTTACATAAATAAAGCTGACCAGCACCCCTGTCAGTGTTGAATGGTTTATCTCAACTCTATATCTGCCACTTTTGGTGGACAGTTTGGTCTGTTAAATGAAGTTGAAAAATAACAGACTTACTGGCTGGATCCTCAGGTGAAAATAAAGGAACAAAAAGCACCAAAAAAAAAAAAGGAATGCAGCCACCACATTTAAAGATTGGTAAGCTGCACTATATTAAATTTTTGCTTTTGGGTTTTGAAACACTTTAAAGGTTTTCCTTAAACCGATGAGGTATGCTTCAATATGGTTTAGAAGCCCCAGCATAAGTGACCTGAAATTTTACATTTCTTTTTTGTCTTTTAGATGAAAGGATTGGCATTGAGCAACTCAGAAGTGATCCGACAAGTACACAACAGTTTTGCAAGGTACTTTCCAATTTTTATAATTCCTCCTTTGGATCATAATGGTGTTTACACAGTTAATGCCTGGAGTTCCACAGTTACCACCATTGCAGAGATGTTGCCTCCTACAGTGTTTACATCCTGTTCTGGCAAAATCTTCTTACTCTGTCATTACTCTCTACCCTCTATTGATGTGGAGGTCAGTGGGTGAAACCACAGAGCATGGGCAGGTGGACCTGATTTACACTCTCTCAGAAGTGCTGCTTTCTCAGAAATAAGATCAGTTGAGAATTCTTTACACACTAAATTGTTAAGATTTACTTAAATTATCTAAACATGAAAAGCAAGTTTCGTGTTTTTATTTTCACGATTGAATAATTAAAGTTAATATTCACACAATTGTGTGAATTCATATTCCACCAGAGATTTTCTATGGGGCTTAAGTCAAGTGACTGCGATGGCCACTGTAGAATCTTCTAGGTCTTCTGCAACCAAGCCTTGTGGAATTCGAGGTGTGCTTGGGATCATTGTCCTGTTGGAAGGTCCAATGATGCCTGAGCTTCAGCTTCCTCGCAGACTGCATGATGTTTTCTCTTAGGTTTTCCTGATATTGCAAAAGACCTGCAGAAAGACTTGCTGGCAACAGGCATGGAGGTTTCAGTCTCCACAGTAAGACGCATACTAAACGCTGTTAGGGTTCCTCAGAAAAGCATCTCTGAAGGGACATGAACCCTTAGTGGGACTTAAGTCCTACCTGGAGGCATGGGTTCACCTCGTTACGATTTCCCGGGATTCGATGGTGCTGCCAGCTTCAGACAAGTACTTGGGAATAAAGAATCGCACTGATTTGTGTATTCACTCTATATTCAAAGGCTTATTGTTCTAACAAAAGGTTATATGTGAAACTAAAAGGGGGAAAAAAATTCTTGCATGTATACAAAACTAATCATGATGGTAAGGGTCATGAGACAACCTTAAGGGAAGATTTGCAAAGTAAACAAGCAAAGACCTAAACGGAGATAAGAGATGCATTTTGCAAAGACTAACATTTTACAAATGTCTCAAGGTGGTTCCTGTAGAATATACTGAAAAAACACACTTTTGCTTGCTCAGACATTAACTAGGTATAACCCAGAAACAAGCAAATGAAATGAATCACCTTTTCAAACGCAGAAGGTTTCCATGTCAGAACTCCAAGATGTACAACTCTACTGACCCAAAAGCACAAGGAAAGTCTGTGCCAATATGCTCAAAATCGTATAAATAAGCTACAGAAGTTTTGGCATTTTGTTCTGAGGAACGATGAAATCAAACATAAGCTAAAAAATTTGTGCTTTCTAATTTTAGGCAGCAGATGTTTGAGTTTGATGCAAAATCTTCAGCAAAAGATGATGATGCTTTTCATTTCGTGAGTTATTTTCCAGTCAATGGGAGACTTTACGAGTTGGATGGCTTACGAGATGGACCTATTGACCTAGGTAGGTATTGCCTGTGTTTAGAGTATATTTTTATTTAGAGATAAATGTATAGATTTCCTTTTTATTAGGTGGAACATTCTGAACCATCATTCTTATGTCTTAGGTTGCCATGTCTTGACCCCTTGCCTGCTCTGATCTTATCTTACCCTCTCTTTTCTTTCCCCGGCTCCAGTATGTAACGCTAATACCAAGCCCACCCTAGAAAAAAGCAAAAAGAGGGGGGCGCCTTTCCTGGTGCAGATATGTTTATTCAATAGCCGGTAAAAAGAAATGGGAATGTACTCACAAGAGTGCATTATAAATAAGCCGTAGGACAATGAACCAAAGTAAGGCAAGTGGAAATCCGTATAGCATGTCCTATGTGCTGATGTGTGTGATGTCAGCGTTGGCGCGTTTCCGGGGCGCGCCCCCTTCATCAGAACATACATTCATCAGAACAAGTATGTTCTGATGAAGGGGGCGTGCCCCGGAAACGCATCAAAGCTGACATCACACACATCGGCACATAGGACATGCTATACGGATTTCCACTTGCCTTGCTTTGGTTCATTGTCCTACTGCTTATTTATAATGCACTCTTGTGAGTACATTCCTGTTTCTTTTTACCTGCTATTGAATAAACATATCTGCACCAGGAAAGGCGCCCCCCTCTTTGTGCTTTTTTCTAGATGTCTTAGTCACCCTGACTGTAGTGGGGCTGCGTCCTGCATATATGCACACTACTACATCCCTCTGAGGAATGATCATCTCTGGCGCTTTTGTGTCACACTTTACCAAGCCCACCCTGACCTACTTACTTTACTATTTCTTGGCATCTCGAGCCTTGCACCATGTGTATCCAGTAGTTTAGCTGCTGTCACCCTGTGTAACCATTGCTGTTCCTAAAAATTGTTTGTTAGAAATAAATACAAATTGTATGAAAGAAAGAGGTATGCCTGGTCCTTCGCTGTTTGCTTTGGTACCACCAGCTAGTTTCTACTCCACTACAAGAGATAACTAAGCTGTTTTTGCTTAACTGCAGTAGAGAAAATATCAAACTAGCTTTGACAGGGCTGTGTAAATCGAAGGACTGGATAGATTTTAAAAAAGCAGCAGGTTCTCCAATATATTTATTTAGCCATATGCCTTGATGTCAATTTTAACCTTAGCTGATGCTTTTTAAAGAGGATAGTACATTACTTTGCAAAGTTGAACTTGTTCTTTATATTTGTTAGGGGTGTTATGTTTTGATTTTCAGGGAGAGGCTAGGGCGCAATACTAGTGCATGTTTGAGGACCAAAATAACTGTGTCTGGGGTCAAGTAAATCCAGAGACTTTCCAATATTAGATTCTCTTATTTTGTACTTCTTTGTGGTTCTGTGGATGATACACTCTAACTTAAAATATCACATTTAACATTAGATAAAGCAACATAGGCCCAATAAAGGACGAAAACGGGAAGTTACTCACAAGTGACAAGGAGAGGGCCGAGGCGCTGAACAATTTTTTGCTTCTCAGTATACACTCAGGAGGGAAACGGGTTTGACGTACGTGATAAAACACATAGTTCAACATGTAATATTGCCATACACACCGTTCTAAAAAATTTGCTTTTACACAAAAAAAAGTGACACGTATGTTTGATGCATTAATGTTTTAAAAACCTGTATATTCCCGTTTGCTTTTGTTGCAGGGACATGCAACCAAGATGATTGGATCAGTGTTGTGCGGCCGGTTATTGAAAAGCGAATGCAAAAGTAATTTCAAATTTCTACTACTTTTTCTTCAAACAATCTGGTTTCACTGCAAATATAGATGGGAATTAACTTCATGTTATCTAGGGACTGACTGAGAAGGTTGTGACTGGAAGAATTTAAATTACACCTGTCAGCCATTTAAGACCATAACAACAAGAGCTCATGTACCCAGGCGTTGGCTTTCTTCCTTTGACATGCGTTTGAAACGCATGTCAAACTCGGGCCAGCAAATTGGCATTGGAGCATGACCTGTTTAGGTGCATTTAAACTGCAGTCAAAGTTGGTCAAACGCAGCCTGTTCTTGTGAAGCAAGAACTGCATTTTACAATAACACCCATTGACGTAAGACCTAAAAGTCCTGTTTTGAAAGTACCACAAGGTGCCATTCCTTGGTTTATTAACCCTACCATCTTCTGCTATGTGTGTGTGTGTTTTTTTTTTGTTTTTTTTTTTTATTACTGGTCTCACTTTGCCATTAAGGACTCCTAAAGATAGGATCCACCCACATGCCAACCCCTTGTTGATTGAGAGGTACTCTGGCTTAGAAGGACAAGGCTTAAAGTGTATTTCCACTTTTGCAGTCAAATTTGAGAAAACCCCCTTATATGTTTTTGTGTTCCCATTCACAAAAATATATATAAAAAGAAATTCTTCCTTTTTAGGTGTTTTGTTGCAGCAGGCAAGGCGGCTGAATCCAGGTTTTTCTGAGCACCTTTACAGTGATCTGTCCTTATAGAAAGGATTAATATTTGAGGGTTGTGTTTTCTCCTAAGTTCATTAACATACAGTGGAGAAGCCAGGCATTTAATCCTTTAACCCCTGACCCCTCACAGCCCAATTTTACAACGAAGTAGGAATGTTAACCCCTAAATGCCAAGAAACCCTAACCCATGTAAAAGCAATTTAAAGCCCATTTCCACCTTTGCAGAGGTATTAAAAAAAAAAAACATGCCAGCAATATACGCAGAGTCAACATGAAGCAGACATATGCAGTTGCTGTATACAAACACAGAAATGTTTGTTTCTCTCCCGTTCATTGAAGGACACAGGCAACAGATC